AACCCCAACAGAGCAGAGGCCCCATCCTTCTCTTTTTGGGCTCTAATGGAAATAAAGTAGAAGCTGTACTTATAGAAATATTATTGTTTCTTTCTGATAAAGATAATAAATTGCTTTCTAATTTTCTTTTGTAATGAAAATACCCCAACGGATGCAAATTTAAGCAAATAGTTTCATTTCAGGTCACAGGACTTAGTACTGCAATCAAGGATCTGAACGAAATTCCTGGCAAAATAGAGTAATTAGAGGCACAATGAAAGCACAATTGAAATGTCCCAGCATCGCATAAACCCAAAAGGCAGTCTGGTTAATTTCCAAATCATATTTGGGCTCAACATGCAAGGGGTTCTTTTTTTATTCAGGCAGAGAAAATAGGACTGAAGAGCATTACGATAACCACACAAGACTAGGAATGTAATTATAAAATAAGCCATACCCTAGCAGGCAAATCATTTTAATGTGTTTCAAGAATAGAATACTCTGTATGGAATTAAAAACAAAGAAAAAAAATCAACATGCAGAAAATTAATTAAAAAGAAGTACAACACAGAAAAGCTCCGAGTGTCATAAAGTTACAAATACAAAAGCAACAAATTAAAAAACAAACACATGCGATTACAGATTTCGGTAACATTAATAGCTAGAACATACCCAATGAATGACTTAATCGTTAAATATTTCACTAATTTTGATAGAAAGCCAGTTGTAATTAACTTCAATTGATCCAAAAAACTTTATTTTTCCCTTCAATTGCAAGGAAACCTGGAAAGACGGCTTCAAGTAACTTTGAAAGGGTGGAGTTCCTTTTCTCAAAGAAAACTGACATGGAAAGGTTTATCCCCTCTGCCCCCCTCCCCCAATTTGTACATTCCTTCAATTCTTTTAACTAAGGCAACCAAAAGACAATTTCTTGAGACTCCAAAACATCCTCAGAAGTCACAAAATATATCCATGTTAATTTAAAAAAAACCCACAAAGAAATTAACACCCTCCGATGCTAAGGGCAATAATTCTATAAAGTGCAGATGGTTCACTGTTAACAGATTTTGTGGATTTCATGTTAAAATTTCTTTAAAAGAAGGGGTGGACGGGAGTGGATCAGAACCCTAGCCATGCCCTGGGTTGAGAAATGACCCGTATGAGAAAGGTGATCTGTGGATCAGTCCTCAGGTATCTTTTCAACTCTGCACATTGCTGAGGTAGGAGCTTCGGAAGAAATATAGAACATCTTAGGGAAGTGAGAGGGTCTTCTTGGCAAATCAGTGCCCTCTTGCTCAGTAGGGGAGCCTAAGACGGTCATACTCATGGGCCCGTGTGACCTTATACAATTCAAGAGTCATATCAGATCACGGCCACAGAGAGCAAGATCCAAGACAAAGCTACACGAGGCAGGCGAGATCCTGGCACTGACCACAAGACATTTGCTATCTAGTGCAATCTCAAAGGGGGAGGGGGGCGGGTGGGGGGTGGTGAGATGGAAAACCCCCAGCAGGAAACCTACAAAATGGTTATTAGCAAATGGTATCAAAAAGTATCAAAACATTTCAAAAAACTTTAAAAACTGCCAGGCTTGGCAGATGCATAAGGCAGGATTCCCAAGTATCTGCAGAACTGCCCTATGCTCCAGAAGGTTTGTCCTGGAGGCCAGACCATTGCCCCTCCCCTCTGAAGACATTCAGAATTGGCAGAGACAGTGAGAATGTCCAGGTCATGGCTGAAACTGCCCCTCCAGGTTTGGGACCAGTGGTCTGACATTCTAGCCGAAAGCTCTGAGAGCTAAAAGGCCTGTGAGGTGCTGCTCAGGCTGGAACTGGCCAAGCCATATGCCATGGAGGACCAGGGTAGAGATGACGGCTGGTAACTCTACAAGGGGGTGTAGGCGGAGGTCCTCTCCCTTCCCACATTGCTCAAATCATCAAAAGGTCACTCTTGGCCTTGGGGCCAAGTACTTTGAACCACAGGTGAACTCATCTGAACTCAAAGATTGGGACCCTGAACCTTAGGGGATGGACTCCACCCCTCCTTTGGCATTTGGGTTCCCACCCAAAATCAAACACCTCTTAGGGTTGGCTTCTGAGATTTCTATTAAGTCACCATGAGGTCGCTTTATTAGTCAGGGTGGAGGGGAGGGACATTCAGAATACACACACGAAGTTTTCTGCTCAGATCAAGATCTACAAGTCCTTCCCAGTAGTCCATCTAAAATGACAGAATGTTAAAAATGCTGATTGAGCCATCCATACAAGCAGAAAGACCACCCTAAGGAACCAAAGGTTTCTCCAGCTTTTCTATCTCCTTCCATTATTAAATTTATATCTTAAGCAAACAAGGCTCTGACTTGGATGAGGATCAAACTCAAAATCCACAACTAATATGAAGTTAAAACTCTAGTTCTTTGAAAGTGAGAAAAACAAAACCTGAATAAAGAGCCCACAATGCTTATTTTGAAAGATCAAAAAAATGATCCAGATTGTCTCAAAGTTCGGCTCAGAGCACTGACAATTTGATGACATAATGCCAAATATTGCTGTTTTCATCTCAAGAAGGCAGCCTGCAAAACTCTGGGCCTTTGGTTTGAAACTATACCATCGTGATTTTGCAGTTCAAATAGCCACTTGCCTAAGCACATCCCCAAGCTCTGCCCATCTGAGTTAAAAAACCTGTCCTTCTAATCTTAGTGATTTCCATCTTAAAACATGAACAGCAAAAACCTGCCGCAGGTCTCACTACTCTGTTCTCCCACGTCCAGGGAGACACTGCTCATTGGTCATGATGTTATTTTCCTTTGACCTTAATGAGCTTGAGAAACTTTCTTAGTCTAAGTGGAGGCACCACCAATTATTTGAAGTTGGTTCACAAGAGGAAATTTACTTATCAAGCCGACCTTTAAGCGAATGCTCCCCTAACCTCAATAATCTTAGATCCTAAGCCATGTAAGTTACAAACTGTCTGCATAGTGGTAGGTGAGACATGACAAAATGTTAGGGACCAGTACATTGCAAGTAACCCACAGGCACAAGAAGTCAGAACAGAGGCGAAGGGCCTGCATCCTGGAACACGTCCTGGTAGTCAAAAACAAAACAGCTGGCTTAGGCTAAAAACTGATGGCTCCTCTCCCCAAGGTCAAAGCCATCTGGCTCCCCAGAGCTCTTCCTCACCTGCCCCTGGATTCTGGTTGAATGATCACCTCTTCATGACCTGGGCTGAGCCGGGGAGAACAGACCACAGGTTCCGTGCTTTGTCAAGGGTCGTCAAGTAACGAACCCTTTTCTGGAATAGGAAGGGGCTAAGTTAACCCAAAGTTGGTAGAAGTTGTTCTGCTAAATATATTTCGTTGAGGGCTGGGACTAGGTATGAGATAAAAAGGGTTTCAGGCTCAACAAAATTTGGAGATGCTGGGTTGATGGAAGGTTAATAGTTCATGCAGACTTCTCAGAGCCTTTAATATATACAGAAGGGTTGTGAAGCAACAAGAGAGTAGTTTTTTGGTTTGTTTGTATGTCTTACAGAACTTCTCAACAGTTTGTAAGCCCCTGGCAACTCCCATATGCAAAGAACTAGCTCAATATGCAGACTGCAGCCCAACTAGCAATAGAGGGCGATGATTTGAGTACTGAAGCTTTAAATGCCCAAATCACTCTCAGCTCTCCTGATCACTATAGAAACAGGACCAATCAAAATCATGGTAAACCTTGAAAGAAAGAAAGTGCAATAAAGAGACAAAAATAAAATAAAAGTTAACTGAGATTATTACTCTAAATGTTAACAGTATATCTTGAAGTTTTCTCATCTCTGCAGACAGATCTTTGTCAAGTTATAGATCATTAATGCCTCTCTTGGCTCATGATTAAAACAGATCACACTCCCGTCCTCCAACCATACTTTGTGTTTCACAGTGACTTGGCTGATAGTCTCAAACTCTCCTTAAAGGGCGCACACTCTTGATGTTCTACTAACTGCAGGAATCAGTGCAGGGCGGTTGCACATCTCAAAAGGAGGTGCTGAATATGTTTTCATAGCTTATATAAACTGAAAAAGCTTAACCCCTGGGAGGAGCCTGGTGGTTATTTCATCTAACCCCGTTGCTTAATGAATGAGGAAACAGCTCCAGACTTGTTAAAGAATTTGCCCAGCAGCACAAAACTACTTAGCAGCAGTTGGGTGGGCTGGGGTCTGTCGCTAGACTTGGGGGAGACACTCGACCACCTTTCTAGGAATCGACATGTGCTCACTCGTGTAAAAGCTTTCAGAGGCTTCTCAGAGCTGGAGTCACAGAGAACAATGGCAAATTCTACGGTGCTCCCTTTTTCCTTCCTGAGAAATAAATGTAGATGGGGCGGGGCGGGGGCGGGGGCGCCTCAGTACATCTGTAATATAAGAAAGTGGGTTCCAGAAAAAAGAAAACGTTTTTTAAAAGCATAAATTACAAAATAGTGTTTATGAGGAGCTTTGTGCTTTTTTGTTTCTTTCTTCCTTGGTTACCTATGTACTTTTAGAATTTAGGAAGATTATCAACCAGGAAAAATAGGATTATTCAGAAACAATCGGCACCTGATAAGAAAATCCCAGTGGGAACACTTCCCTGATGAGAAGTCTTGGGTCTCACCTGACTGTCCAGCCAGTTGGTGACCTTTGGTCACTCACTCATCCTCTCGGGGTCTGCAACCCCATCTATGGAAACAAATGCGCTTGACCTTGCCAGTGATTCCCAAACATGGCTGATGCTTAGTCATTCCAGGAACAGGTTAAATACAGTTTCTAGCCACTCCCACCCCCATTCCTGGTAGTTTTAGATTCGATTATTCTGAGATGGGGCCCAGGTGTCTATTTTTTTTTTAAAGCTCAGCCAGGTTTGGAAAAGCATGGACTAGATGATCTGAAATGTTGCACTGAAGCCTCTAGTTTTTTCACTACAAAAATTTTTGCATAACCCCTGCCCTAGATACTCTCATGGATATGGTTAAGGGGCACCCCCAAGGATTTGTACTGTGGAGAGAAGCTCTGCGCAGACATAAGGGCATATTTCCTGCCTGGGCCCAGGTTTAATTATTCGAGCAAGATAATAAGTAAAGTTACATAGAATATTTAATTGTTTACTGTGATATAGAAATACCAAGAGTCATAAAAGTAAAAAAAGCTGCTAAGTGGTACATAATGGTTCCAGGGTTCTACGAAGTTGTTGCTGGTCTACAGACACTCTGGGAGGTGGCGATGGGGACGGGGTCCCAGTAGGCGAGGGCAGGGTCACTGATCCCGGTCCTGGTGCCTCTTGGCCTTGCCCTTCTTCTTCTTGTCCTCCAGCCTCGGCTTCAGGGCGCAGACGCAGGCGGACACGCCGGCGATGGCCTTGGGCAGGTCGGTGCCTTTGCTCCACTTGTCCTTCTCGAGGTCGTACACCTGGACTGTCTTGGAGAAGGCCGTGTTCTCCCAGCTGTAGCCACCCAGGATGTAGATGCGACCCTCCCACACGGCCACGCCCGACTCACTGTTGGCGTGCAGCAGCGGGGCCACGCGGGTCCACTGGTTGCACTGCGGGCTGTAGGCCTCGACGCTCAGCACGTCGAAGCGCTCCATGGATTCCACGCTGTCGTCGCTGCCCCCGATGGAGTAGATGCGGTCCTCCAGGCTGCACATGCTGTGCCAGCCCCGTGCCGTGGTCATGGGCCGCCGCTCCTCCCACACGTCCGTCCGGTGGTCGTAGCACAGCAGGTTCTTGCGGTAGGGGCCGATCTGGTAGTCATGGCCCCCCGAGATATACACGAAGTCTTTGTAGATGGTGCCTGCGTGGCCATACGTGAACCTGTGGAGAGAGGGACAGGTGGATAAAGAGACAAGGAGGGAGCTCCATGCTGCCCTGGCCTGGGGTCTACGTGCTGGGGTCTGTCTTCTCGGCAAATGGGGACAACTTGCCCTCTCAGGGGGTCGTAAGGATTTGAGGGGATGATGCAGGGAGCAGGCACCTTGTGAACATTTTACAGACGGCAGCTGTCACTGTACAGGAAGTGGAAGACAGAGTGAGTAAATGGGCCGCTAGGCAGTCAGACGGCCTGGGCAAGAATCCCAGCTCCGCTCCTCTCTCCATGTCCCACCCTGAGAAGTCGGCATAATCACAAGACTGGTATCCTTCTCATAAAGGCTGAAAACAGCAACAACATGCTATCGAGGCACACAAGTATACCCGGTCAAATTACATATGAAATGGAGAAGAGAGTATAATTCTAACTATATGACATTCTGCAAAAGTCCAGGCTACAGGGCCAGTAAAACAGCAGCGGTTGACAGCGGTTCGTTCATTGGAAGGGGCAGGGATGAAGGAGTAGGGCACACAGGATCTTGGGGCAGAAAAACTACTCGGTATGGTTCTGTAATGATGGATACTTGCCATTATACATTTGTCAAAGCCCACAGAATGTACCATGCCAAGAGCGAACCTTAATATAAACTGTGGACCTTAGTTAACGATAATGTATCCATATTGGTACATCCATTGGAACAGACGTAACACACACTTGTGAGATATTAAAAATGTAGGGAGAGGCGTATGAGAACTCTCTTGTCTGCTTAAATTTCTGTAAACCTAGTTTCCTGCTCTAAAAAATGAAGTCTATATAAAGACAAAAAAAAAAAAGTACAAACAACGGTGAAACAAAAGGGAATGATGTTATGAAATTCGGAATAGTGGTTATGTAGTGGGAGGCAGGTGGATGGGAGAGAAAAGTATAGGGGACAATATTGTTGTGGGCAGACGGCAGTTACTGTTCCACCTCTTGGCTCTGGGATTGGGCTGTGGGTTCATGGAGGTCCCATCACATGTCAGTAAATAAAAACAGATATGAGTAAATAAATGAAATCAATGTGGGGCATGCATGCAATAATGATGACAGCATCATGGATTATTGTACATGTACGGTCCATTTAGAAAGAAAAAATAATTATAGGGTTATTGTAGCATTTAGGGTATATAAATCACACCGGCTGGCCCAGAGAGCGACAGCAGCAGATGTTCTTATCGCTATTATCAAGTCTCATTTCTCCATCTGTAAAATGGGATGATAAAGTAACTAAACCAAGAGACCAGAGGTCTTGCTTTGCTTATTGTGGGGTCATTATTTACTGCTGACCTGCCTCATTCACTGCCATCCTGGTTTGGATGATAAATTGTATGGGCGCCTATCTCCACCCCACCAGGTTATTGTGAACAGCAAAGGACTTACCACAGAAAGCACTTGGCTAAATTTGGCATAGGGCAATCAGTCACTAATACCACAACTGTCCAATCGCCTTAGTTAACAGCTGTCCAGGCGTTACTCTATTGCCTTCTTGGAACTCTACAAGAAGCTGGTAATAACTAAGGACTGGAGGAGATGGGGTTCACACCCAGACGCTTACACCATGCACCCTTCTAACTCTCAAGGACAAAGTCCCCAAGACACATGGAGGCGTTCCACAGCAAGACTGCTTCAGGAAGTGCACCTGCAGGTCAGACTACAGGGAATCGGTAAAATAAGTGGCATGAGCCTTCTGCCAAACCCATGACAATAATAAGTGCACACCTTGATGCAGGGAGAATAACTGCTCTGAGCCCTGGAGCATTGTCCATGTGCTGTGTGCTGTGTGTGAGACTCCCAAGGAGCATCTTATGACAATCTCGTTCTTATGACAATGCTACAGTGCATTATAACATGCCCACTTTACAGATGAGGAAACGAAGAGGGTGAAGATACCTGCTCGTGTCGCGGATCTGGTACAGATATCCCCCCAGCAATTTGAACTCTCCCTGCCCAAACTCAGATTTTTAGGTAAATCCATCACTGTCTGAACTCAACGCTCACTCCTTGAAATGCAGGAAGTGAACAGACTCGGAAACTGAGGAATGTTTATCTTAGTAATCGAGCTGACACTTGCACTCGGATGGCCAAGAACAGGAGCCCTGACTCGTCAACCACCACACCCTCCGCCCTCATGGTCTGTTATGTACAAGCCAGGAGATTTTTCTGGAGGCCAAAACATCCAGTAAGTGAGGTGGACTGAACTGTAACCTAAAAGTTGTTATGCCTGAAGAGTCTGCCACGAAACCCCCAATCACCTTGGCAAACCGGCCACGTAGGACCAGGAGTCAGTCTTGGGACTGTACGTCTCGACTGAAGAGAGTGCTCCATTCTCATTCCGGCCACCAACAGCCACCAGCATGTCTTCAATGGAGGCAAGGTAGAAATCCACACGGCGCTGGTTCATGGAGGCCACCTGTGGAGGCGAGACACCTGTACCTTCCCTTCCCCAAACCCTGGACAGTGTCAATGCAATATCTAGCAGTAGTTCCCAAAGGTGTTCAATGGAACAGACAGCCTGGGAAGGTGAGGCAGTGACCAAGTGAGTTTGGGGGAAGGGAGTCAAATTTGAAGAAAGGAGGGTTCTTTAGGAGGAGCTGCTCAGAGTCCCCAAAGACCCTTGAGACACTGGGGATCCCCAAGAGGGAAATGAAGAACATGGCTCCCCAAACTTGTTTGGCTATGTGGCCAGCCTCGTGCACTTGCATTCTGTAGGATACACAGTTCATAATTGCTGATTTAGTGGTTTCCTGAAATAAAAATTAATCTTTCCTCTTGCTACCCCCATCAGATAGTTTTTTTTTTTTTAAATTAATGATTGCCATTAATTTAAAAGGCAGAAAGCGGCAGTCAACAGGAAATTAAAAAGCAGAAGACCTAACTTAAAAAAAAAATCTAAGCAGAACATACAAGTAAACATAGTCCTGCAGGGGGCGATCCATTCAGGCTGCCACCGCTATGAAGCTTTTGAAGATGGGCTCAAAGCTGGGAGCCTCTTTCTAGTGGCAAGACTTATACCTTGGTGGGTGGTTTTAGATTTTTAAGAATAAAATCAAAAGGTCATCAGAGTCCATTCTGAGTTTTGAGCTCAGAAAAACACTGAGTTAAGTAAAAACACAGAGGTGTGAGTATAAAGACTGAGACCGACTTTTGTGGATGGTAGTCTGGAGAGGCAGGCATTCATGGGAGAAAACAAAACCTTCCCTCTGCCAGGCACTTGCCAGTCAACATTGGTTACAAACTCCGACCCTGGAAAGTCAATGTCTCCCCGACTCATTTCCAGAGGGAGAAGCTGAAATTTGGAGAGGACAAGAAACCAGTCTGAAATCCCCAGCTATAATTTAGCCAAGTTGGGATGTAAACTCAGGTCTGATGCCAAGACCCATGCTCTTCCCAGAATTAGTGGCCACAGGTCCTATCAGATGAGCCTTCGTGGCCTCCTTAAACCAGCTCCAAAACTTTCCAAAAGAGGAGCTCGGCTGAGACTCTGAGCCACGGGGAAGAGTGTTCAAGCTATGGGCCAAATCTTGAGACTGGCGCTATCCAATATGGTAGATAGTAGCCTTGTGTGGTCATTTACACACATTTAAATCAAATTGAAAATTCAGTCCTTCAGTCACATTGGCCACAATTTCAAGTGCTTGATCGCCACACGTGGCTGGTGGCTACTATATCGGACAGCACAGATGTGAAATGTTTCTATCGGCACGGAAAGTTCTATTGGACATGGCTGCCCTGGAAAATGACTGACCCTGCAGAAGGAGGCCGGTCAGCCCTCACTCCCCGCAACCAGGGTGCGGGCATAGGGGAGGGTGGGAACTAGGTGGCTCATCACTTTATCATCACACCTCGTTCAGAAGCAGGACGCTGGTCAAGGCCCAAGAGATGGGAGGGGCAGTCAGGCTAGGTTAAAGAGATCAAAAGTCCTCAAGAGTAAAGAAAGAATCTGGCTTTAATCTCACCTTGATCCACTGTTTACAGCGGGGGTCATACCTATAAAGAAGACTGGACGCTGCATCCCCTCCATTGTCCCTCGAGAAGCTGCCGCCGGCGATGAAGATGAAACCCCCCAACACGGCAACACAGTGGTGGCTCCGCCGGGCTGGCAGGGGTGTCTCCTTGACCCACTGCTCGCTCTTGGCGTCCAGGTAGCAGGTGTCATCACTGAGCTCCAGACACCGCTCAGAGACCTCACCGCCCACGAACAGCAGGCGCTCCTCGTTGGTGCGCAGTGCCGTGCGCTTGGTCTGCATGACCGGCTGGGCCGCCAGGCTGTTGTGGTAGCGCACGGCCTCCTCGATGAAGCCCTCGCAGTTGGCCTCCCTGGGAAGCAGCGAGCACACGGCGGGCTTGACGCGATGCAGCAGGTCGTTCTTGGGGATGAGGGGGAAGTGGATGTGCTCCAGCACCTGGTAGGCGTGGGCCTCACGCTCTGGCTGCTGCGTCAGCCACTGCAGGGCGGCCTGCAGCAAGTCATGCTCGCACTCCCGCTGCACCTCGCTGCTGCTCAGGTACACGCACAGCTTCTGCATGGAGATGTTCTGCAGGAAGTCAGGCGTGAAGGACAGTGTGCCAAAGTGGCTCAGGATGAAGCCGTCGATGAAGGCATCCAAACGCTTGAGGCTGTAGATGGAGGCCAGCTCCTGAAGGTACAGGTAGTTGTCCTCGCTCACCTCCTGCTCTAGGTACTCACAGCAGAAGTCCACCACTGTCCAGATCTGCAGCAGGTGGGCCGTCTCCAGGATGTAGTCGATGTTGCCACCGTCCAGCGCCAGCTCCCCACCGTACAGGAAGTCCACCACAGCCTTGAGGCCGATGTAGGAGGCACCAATCAACTCCACCTCCTTCTGGAAGGCCTCACGCATGCCCAGGGTGAACATGGAGTTGAAGTAGTCGCTGCACACGGCCAGCAGGTTGCGGTGGGCCGGCAGGCGCTGCTCGTCGGCTACTAGGACGATGTCGCAGAAGAGGCCACGGAGACGCTGCTCATTCAGCCGCTGCAGCACTGTGGTCGAGTGCTCGGCCCAGCGGTACACCTATGGGAGATCACCTGTCAGGGCTCTACTTGCAACCAGGTCCAGGGAGGGGAAGTGAACCAACCTGCCTCCTCCCTCCTCCCCCAGATGCAGGGGCCTGGAGTCAATCTAGTGGAACACAACTAGCATTTTAAATACAGTGGGATGAAGGAGAATGGGAAATAGAATACCAGAGTGCATCGCAGGAACAAGGGTGAGTGGGTGAGTGGGTGAGTTTGAGTGTGTGAGTGTGTGAGTGTATGTGTGTGTGTGTTGTATATATCCTTCCTTCCATTTTCTCCTTCTTTATAAATTAAACTACTAAAATCAGCCTTCCTTCCTTCCCTCTTTTCCTTCTTTATAAATAGGATTTCTAAAAGTTTTTTTTCCTTCCTTGTCTCCTTCCCCCCTTCCTTACTGTGGGTCATGAGCAAACAGGTTTGAAAAATGCTGTCCTGTCAGGATGAAGAAGTGGCTCAGAGTGTAGCCTCAAAAGTCAGACAGAATCGGGGTTTGACTCCAGCTCTGCCACTTATCAGCTGTGTGATCTAGGGTGAGTCACAAGGAGACTCTGAGACTCCATTTCCTTGTCTCAAAAGTGAGGATGAGGGTATTCACTGCTCGGGCTGTGGTAGGGGGCATTTAATGAGACAGATTACGGCAAAGAGGCCGCCTGAGGGAAGCTGCTGTGATTGTCATCCCCACCAGCGCTCTGTGCTGAGGAAGACAGCTTTTGCCCTCTCAGAAAGGCAGAGTCTTGCTATAGAGACTCCTATTTCTACTGATCTGTGCAGGGATGTGGTGGGTCCCAAAGGCTGAGTGATGTCTCCAGACTGAGGTGCTCTGGGAATCCTACTTCTGGAAATATGGCTTCACTAGCCAATGCCAGGGTTAAAAGAGACATATACGTAAAATTCAGATACATTGTCTTTTCCCGGGGGCTTATATGTACCTGCATTGTGCTGTGTACCTGACATGCAATCTCTCATTTAAACATCTTGAAAACTCTCCAAAGGATATATCTACTATAATCTCTACTTTGCAGAGACTAAGAAGAAGCTTGCCCAAAGCCCCACAATGACTGCACGGCAGGGCTGAGATTTGAACCTGTTTGATTCCAGAGCCCAAACCTGAAATCACCATGCTGTGCTAGAATTAACAAATGAATTAATATGAATAATGACTATGAATTCCATAAATTTATGTTGGTAGACGGTTATTGAGTGCTACATGCCTGCCATGTGCTTTTGAGGCTATGAAGATATGTCAGACCTTGTTGAGAGTTTCAAATCCTTGGAGGACTAATTATGCTCGAGGCTTTCGAGATATTGCACACTTATTTATTCACTATGAAAACAACAAGAAAATTCAATAGAGGGGAAAACAGGCCATTCGGGAATATCAACTAGGTAGCTGATCTATTTGAGGGTGATTGAGAAGAGGCTGGCTGGGCACTAAGCCTCAAAAAGGGAAATGGTGGTAGAAAGGAAGATGGACTGAGGGGTTGGTAGGTGTGAGCTGCTGTGTGATTGGCTGACAGGTCCCCTAATTCTTGTAGGTTACTTCCTAGAGTAGTGAGTTTCATTTCTTTCTTCCCCTCCAAATCTGCTCTTTACTGCCTCTGACGGATTTGTAATTGAGAGACTTCTTTTCCCTCTGGTCCTTCCTTATCTAGTTCCAACATCGATCGCTGTCTATATTATGGGTATGGGCAGCCACCTCACATTCTGATGAGGACACCAAACAGATACTGCCTTAAGCTTCCTTCCTATCCAAGTCTAGAGAGTCAGGTTCTACTGCTCTTACATTACAGGATGGTTTCTCATAGGTCCCAAACACAGATAGCTCCATTTATTCTGGTTACTTGCAGAGAGAGAGCCTGGCTGGCCTGGTTTTGGCTTCTAATTAAGCAGAAATGGTCTCGACTCCAACACATGCTGGCTTGGGGCCCCTCTCAAATGCAGATTGAAGGAAATTAAAAAGCACTATAGCAGCAGGATATCTCGTAATAGTAACGGCTCAGTGTCCTGAGAGAAGCAAGTGAGGGGCATCGGGTGTGCTGTCCGCCCAACCGGGGCCCCTGGTTGTCTCCAAGCTGGTGGGGATGTGGAGGCGCCACACTTAAATGGGGGTACACGTGACCCCAGGCTGCTTGATAAAAAAGAGACAACCCCGAGGGGTGGGGACTTGGGAAAGCCCCAGACGACAGCTGCCAAAGGGAACCATCTGCTCCATGAGCCAGAGCAGGGAAAAGGGCAGCGCTGCTTCTAAAACTGGGTCTCCGAGCTAAGTAGGCGCCTTTAATTCTGTACCTGGTTCTTGACGACAGCCCGTTTCTCATTATTTTAGTGTAGCTGCGGAGACGAGAACTTCAAACAACAGACAAATGTGACTTCCCAATTTTAAAGGAACAATAGGAACAGAGTCTTAGCACTTCGTACAACTTCAAAGCCCTGGCCCCCAACGTTCTCTGATAGTATCGACCCTGTTCTTTCCTTCATGTCCTATGTTAGTGCCTTTATCAGAAAAAAGGCAAAGTGGGTGAAGAAACACGGGTACTCAGGAGCTAATACTGGACAGATACAGCAGATATGGGGTATTTCATATTAAAAAAGAACTCAGCATCAAAATAGATGAACGCATTTTAGAGTAGATAAATGAACAGTGGTAGTCACTCAGTGGAAGACTCCATCGCACCGAGAAGGAACAACCTACTACGATAAGCAGCCACTGCAGAGAACCTCGGATGCACCATCCTGAGTGCAAGGAGCCAGGCACACTTACATAGAGTTCAAGGGCAGGCAAAATTGCAGCATTGGAAGTTGGGAGAGTGGCAATGTAGGGACTACAGGGGTTTGGTAATTTTTTTTAATCTCGGTGCAGGCTACAGGGGTGTGTTAATGCCTAGAAAAATCAGTTATAATTTGGGCACTTTTTAAATACAAAAAGTTAGGAACATAAATACAATCAACCAACGGATTGAGAACCCTATTCCTAAAAGCATCAATGAAGAAAGAAAGAAACTCAGAATCAGGCTTTAAGGGACAAAGATTTCTAGTGCTATGAAACTTAGAAAGCCATACTGTCTCCGTAGCCAAGCTCTGAAACAAAGCCCCTTTGAGTCAGCAGAGAGACCTTTCTGGGTTTTCACAGCAGATAAAGCCAGGCTTGGCAAGAGTCTTCTCAGTAAACGCAAATGGAAATAGGAGACTGTTTCTCAGAACCAACCTATCCTGAAAATTACGCCCGTTTTTCTTTGATGCACATCTGCAGAATCTCCTTCTTTTTCCCTCAAATCTCTAGGCTACTCACAACTCCCTTTAGCTGACATGGACTTTCTTAACCTTTTTTCAATGTTCTTTAAGGTATTTTTTCTAACAGCGTCCGCAAAATGTTAATATCACGTATATTCTATTTATCTGTGTATGTACTGTAATCATAAAGAAAGTAAAAATTCTTTCCACACCCCAAGAACCAATTTTACCCTTGTGGGGGTAATATTTGCCTCACTGAGAATGCTGATCTAGGGTAACCATAAAATTAAATATCCAAAAAGGATCACTTTTAAAGGGGGTGTTACTGATATATATAAAAGGATAGGTATAAGTGGGGATAGTCCAGCAAGTTGGTACCCCAATTCTTATCTATAGCAGCTGAGGGGACAGGGGCTGCTCCAAGTTCCCAGAGAAGTTTTCTGAAGGTATAGATGCCCAGGTCCTGCTCTCAGATTTTAGTTGAGCAGGTCTGGGGGAGAGGCCAGGCATATGCATTTCTAATGGGACACCCTTCCCCTCACTTTCTCCCAGGGTGATTCTGATGCAGCTAGTGTGACACAGGTTGGTAGCCCAGCCCTGGGAAACCAACCTCACTCATTCCTAGGGTCCCAGAAAGTCATGATGGGGGAGGACCCTGGGCCCTTAACAACCAGGAATGCAATGTGCTGCCCCCACCATAAAGTTGGATGCTGGCTTCTCAATGGACTTGTCCTTGGAGTTTTTGAGCCCCCAAGTGGGGACAGCAGTCCCATGACTTTTATCCTGTCCCACCCAGCTCTTAGGGTTGAGGTGCAGAATAAATGAGTTGAGCTGTGTGTCTAATGACCCTTGCACTGCCAGATCTATTTTATGTTTCTTCCACACCTAGCCCAGGCTACCTCTGCTCATCAGTAAGAAGATTACCACGACCCCCAAGAACAGAAAACCAGTGTGTACACTGAGAATGAGCTCATTAGAAAAACATCATACTTCTTAGGCAATTTTCACAGACCTTTGAAGATTCGCTGATCTTGTAGGGCCGAGACACTCGGGTCTGCCGGCTTCCCTCCATCACGAAAGAAGTCGCTCACCTACAACAAGAACAGGATTTCTGAGCACGTAGTAATAGTAATAGCTCTAGGTCATTTGTTAATTGCAGGCTCTGCTGGATGATATCAATGGCAATGAGGGTGAAAGCAGTCACATGGAGGGCAGAGGAAGAGAAAGCCATGTTCTACGAAGAACTCTTACACTGTGAGTTGAAAAAATCGGATTGTTAGAATCAGAGAGAACATTTAACAACTGTTCCTTTGTCATCTGAAATCTGACAACACCATGTCTTTTAACCTACTTCCTATAAGTACCTTTTGATGCTTGATCTCAACTGGGCCTTTCGGCTAGATCAAGGTTATAATGACATGGTACCATTTCAGAGCCCAATGACCCTGGAACCAAGCTATGGGATTTACATACGCTGTCTCATATAACCCCACAACTACTTGGCCAGGCCGATGTCCCTTATCCCATTTTACAGATGAGATATTGGGTTCAAGGTCACAAAGCTAGTAAATGGCTGGGAACCAAACCTGGGCCCTTCATCGTGATGCTGAATGTCACACAGTCTTTGAGAGTATCATACTTCTAAAATATCATGAAGTTAAGGATGTGGTGCAGTGATGACTACTACACATAAAGTATGCTCTAGACACGGGTACTGGTTTAAGAGCTTTCCTGATTTAATCTCCACAACAACCCCATGAGGCCACCACTATTATTATTCTGTTTATGGAGGAGGAAACTGATAGCAGCAAGGGGAAGTAATTTGACAGATTCACATAGTTAGGAAGAAGCCAGGAGAGTTGAGATTCCAACCCACGGTGGTTTCCATGCACTTAACGGCTAGGCTAGTCCACCATAAAAATTAAATTAAATTAAATTAAAAAGCTCACAGGTAGGAAACCTTTTTCTGGGGCTTATGCTCTGCCTAGGACATCCCGGATAAACTTGAACAAGCATGCTAACCTCTCTAGACCTCATGGTAGCGTCTATGAAATAGGCTGGTATATCAGGTGATATTAAGGTTTCTTCTAGCTTTGAAATGTCAGGTAACTCACTGACAGCACAGAACCAGGCTCTGGGGGCTCTCAGGGGATGGGGAAACACAGAAGAAGAACTAAGCCAGCAATATGGGCACAAGTCACATACTGGGACTGAGGGTCCTTAAGGAGGAATTTTTTTCCCTTCTATCCACCTCTGAGAAGAGTCAATTTGTTACCTATTGAATAAACCACCTTTGCTAATCATAAACAATGTAACAAAAAGTCAGCACTGTTTCAAGATAATCAGGTATACACAAAGGGGGCTCCAGCTGTCCATCCTGTACAGCTCCCTCCTGGAAGGAAAGGACAACTAGACTTCTGACAAATTAGCAACTTCATGACAATGACCAGCTATACCCACTCCTGTCCTTTTTCACGGACCCTCAGCTGCTGGGGGGCTCAGAGAGGGAAGTGGAGGAAACCACATTCATGCAGTGCCAACCGCACACCCGTGACTTCCTGGTTTCACCTTCACCCTTTGAAGCAAGTACCATCATCATTCCTGACATCTAGGCTGAGTGGTGGAGAGGCCCACTCAAGGTCACTCCACAGAAAGCATCAGGTCCCTCCCGACACCACTCTAGGCATGAAGCCAGAGCTCCGTCTGCTCTGAGTGCTAAAAGCTTTCTTTTCTAGGCCAAGATTTCTAGAGAGAGTTTCCCCTTGTGTAGGTTCCCTTTTGTCTCCGGGCAAGTGGTTTGGAGCTGATTTCTACACGAGTGCTGGGTGTTGGCTGCCTCCGTGCTTTCTGAAAGCAGACGAGAGGGTCAAGGCCATCCACATGAGTAGTGACGATCCCAGCTACGCATAAAAGGTCTTTTCCTAAACATGGGAACAGAGGCCACGTCCGGACAGGCGGGCCCCCAGGGAGCCTCCTCTTCAAGCTCCTTCTTCGGGTTTCGACCCTGAACGTGCCCGATCTCGGCGCTCGGGGAAACACAACGTTGTGGAGACGGACACGGCTACTCGCCAGCACTCACCCGCGCCGGGTCTCGCCGGCAGGGTCTCCCGGGACGCCGCTGTCGCTCGTTCGGACCCGGCACCCCCTGGCGGAACCGCCGGCACAACGGCCGCTCGGGCAGGCTCGAGCCAGCTGCGCGGAGGCGGCGGCGGCGGCGGAGG